CCTGCTGCATTGCAACGGGTAGAAAACTAGTGTGTGTGTATATATATATATATATATATATATATATATATATATATATACTAGATATGAGGTAGGTTCATTCGAGAATAATAACTATTTAGGAAAATAAGAGAATGACCAAATTGTATACAAAATTACATGTGATTTTATATTAACGGCAAAAAAAGTGTACGGATTGACTTACGGCTGCAAGACAAGGTCGCATGAATTATATGTGATTTTTGTACGTGATATTAATGTAAAATCACATATGATTAGACAATTATCTTACTTATATATATATATATATATATATATATATACATGTAGAGGTTCAAACGAGAACACCTCCATTTTACGAAAATGCGTGAATATCCTCATCACATGTAATAATACACTTGAAGGGACTTGCTGGTGTATGGATGTCGTGCCTTACGATTTAGGTCGCACTAAAGGTCGTCTGCGTCTATGATTTAGTATCACATATGATGGTTTTGATGAATTATAGTATCACATATATCACATGTGATAGTACATGTGCGAGACTTAGTGGTGTAAAGACGACTTGACCTACAGCCTAGATCGCGTTAAAAGTCGTCCACGTCTCTGATTTAGTATCACATGTATATCATATGTATTGGAATAATAGTATCACATGTGATTGTTTACGATAAAATAATGTTCTCACGTTTTCATAAAATAAAGGTGCCCGTTTGAACCTTTCCATCCATATATATATACATATATATATATATTATATATATATTATTCTCATATAAACTCAATTCGACTCGTATGATATATAGATTTACCCATTATTTTGGACGAACATGGTGTAGATGATTTTTTTTTATAAATAAAATATAATAGATGAATCTTAAGAAAGAGATTTAAGATTTTTGCTTATTTACAATTTTCTTTTGGCCTTGACCCTATAAAAAAGAAGATGAAGAAGCATGGTGGCTTATAAATGGAGTCAGAGAAGACAAAGAAAGAAAAACCCAATATCTAGATTAGACAAATCAACACAGCTGTCATACAAATAGCCGATCTTATTTATTGGGCTTTGCGTATATCCGTTTGCAGCAGATTAAAACCCTACCATTACATATACCTATCATACATATAAACACATACACTACACATTGGTGACTTGATGCTGATGAGATAAACCAAAAAGGGGCTCCTGAGGTTTCCATTTTAACCGTAGTTTTCTTAATTGCTTATTACTGAGAGAAAATAGCAAAGAAAATCCCCAGATTCAGAGACTCTGTGAAAATGGAGGAGGGAGTGAAAGGAGATGACGAAGTGCAGGGGTCAAGCTTGACCATGGAGAAAGTGGCTGCTGCGAAGCAATTCATAGAGAATCACTACAAAACCCAGATGAAGAACATTCAAGAACGCAAAGAGAGGTTTTATTTTTTCACAAACTGTGAATTAAAGCTGTGATTCTTACATCCTTTCTATGGGATTTGTGTCTTGTACTTGTTTTCTATTTTATGCTTTTCATAGGCCAATCTTCAGTCTCTGACTCTCTGAGGTTAGGTTTAGTACCATACAGTGTCCTGCATTTACTTGCCCTGAGATCTACGCTTTGTTGCTCAAAAACAGGTGGAGACTGAATCCGGTTTCATTTAGTAGTATCAAGATTCTATCATATTAAGTAACTGAAATGATTAGACTGGAGTTCCATTAAGTTTTTGGGATGATGCATGTATTGATTTAATGTATTCTTGTCCTTGAATTTACTGTTTGAAGTTACTTTATTAGCTTGATGTAGTAGTGGGGAATGCGAGGTTGGCTCTTAATTGGCGCCACAGGCATCAAAATTTCATTCGAGTTTTGTGATACAATCTGGTGAGCTTACCACACATAAGCACTTGGTTTTGGTGTTGCCAAAAAAATGGTGATATTCAGCATCTTTTGCGGGTAGTTTCTGTAGATAATCCACCATCCTGCAGCAGAGAGTTATACAAGTAGAGTGTATTGTATATTGGTATGCCAAATTTGTATTTACTTCCAAAGTTTAGTCATCAACCATTTATTAAGCAGGAGGTTCAACTTAGGTATTGTTTTGTCAAAGAGGTTACCGAATGATGGAATTTAGAAAGAGCAAGAACATTCCCAAGATTTGTTTTGGTTGAAGACACACACACACATATATGTATATATATTCTTAAGAGAGAAGGATACCCAGAGGGGTGAATAAGGAGCATCCCAAGGTGTATGGAGATAAATTATGAGATGGAAACATGGTGTTGGTTTTACACTGTAGTTCTAGTATTATGTTAATCATGCTAAATCAACATATGATATATTTTTTTTTCTTAAAGACGTAGCGGAGACTAGTAGAGACTTTCGTTCTTCTTTAAGAAATCCGTTATCTTAGACTACTGAATCTTTTTTCTTTGAAGAGATGGAAAACCAAACCCTGTGGGGTAATTTGGCAGATGAGGCAACCAATTGTCGATAGCACCAAGTCAAGGTTTCCAATAAAGAGGCATGTCTTTTTGTGGCCATATTTGGATGCAACCGTTATTGTATGCTTAAGAATATGATGGTGCTCGTCTGATTAGACCTTGGAATATACATATGGTTGTTTGAACAACCTTTTTAACCTCCAACGAAAATGTGAAGGGGAAAATTCTTTCTTGTGCTATGGAATCCAACTCATTGGCGGCTATTCCCTGATTTTTCTTCCGTTCTACTAGAAATAGTGTTATGGTTTTAGGATGATCTTCTGGCAGGATAGGTTTTTTGAATTCATAGGATGAGCTTTTTGAATGAAAATGGTTTATTTGTAGTTTTAAATGGATTCACATTGTTTCAACATTCTTTTCTTTTTATGTATACTATTGACATATGGTCTTCTAATTATTTTTAAGCGAGCCAGTAACTTGAAGTAACAAAATCATGGTACCTTGAACGTAACAAAATCATCTGGAACATTCCAGTGAAATACAGTTAACTATATTGGCTCAAATAAGAGAACTCAAGGAGCTAAAGGAATTCATTGCTACATTGGTAAACAAGAAGTCATGTAAGAGAATCATTTCATGACATTGTTTGCTTCCATTTTGTCGCCTCTATTGTGCTCTTGTTGCCATGGTTTCAATGAGTTATTTCTCTTGATTACAACTATTTGGACTTGAGACTAAGCTGGAGAAACCCAACAAGAGGAGATAAAACTAGTTTGACATTTTTAGATTTTGTCGACTACACGAAGACTTGTGGGTTGAATTGAATTGGATAACTTTTCATAGTTTAAGCATGGATTGCCAAGACTTCGATAATTCCACTAACTATTCTTATCAATTGGCAATAGAATAAAATCTACCACCAACCAGAAAAATCAACTTTAGATGGTGAATTGGAAGAAATATTTTTGTCGTAGTTTTGTTGCCAATCTAGACAATAATTAAGAAAAATTAAGTGTACAAGGTTCAATTAAGACTAACAATTAGTCCAACAGAGAGATCCATAGCATAACGTCAGGGTTGCTATAGGACTATAGCAATAACTTACTTCCCAATATTTGGTTTAAAGGGCCCCTTTTGAGATTTAGACATACACTTACTATATACATGCTTTCAGTTCTTTATGATAAGCATAAATCTAAGCATGCCAGAAATCTTCCCCTTCTATCCATATGGATAAAGCAATAGTTGTTGCTTTAGCTCTTTATAGGATGCCCATAGCCTTATCATTCACGTTGAAGCCTTTACGTTGTCTTCTTTTTAAGTTTTAACACACTTTCACATTTAAAAACAGATGCCAACTTGTCAATAGATGTTTGGTGCATCGGTATAACCGTAAATGAGAAGTTGGAAAGGATTGTTATTGATAAACTACCTCCAATTTCATAATTGTTGTCTTAATCTCGCCTCATATCTAAGATAAGGGTGTTTGTATATCATTGCTTAAATGCTTTTCATGGTTATAAAGGACATAATTTAATGCTAAAATGATGAAGGTGCAATAAAAGTAAATAGCAAGAAATAACACAAGTATAAATTCAATGCTTGATTAGTAAAAGTTTGCATAATAGAAAACTTAAGGGAACAATGGTATATCTTAAATACGTGTCCGCATCCCCTTCAATACACGAATGAAGATGGCTTAGAAAAGACGCAAACACTGAATTGGAAGGTTCAAAGGATAACAACCAAGGAGTATAACAAAACGCAAGGACATTCTCCTTATTTTAATGAGGACTCCTTGGTCAGCAAAAGATGTCTTCAAACTCAACTTTTCTTCACGTAAGCATGGGGAAAAATCTTCCAAAAATTAGCTTCATTAAATGCCTTTTTCGAGCTCTTAACTACCAGTGCTTTGACTATGCTGTAATATGCACTTGTTGCTACAACATAATATCTACAATTAGCATGAAAATAACTAAAAACTATTCCAATCTATTACTTAGCTCTATAAACAAGATAAGTATAAAATAAGATAACAAGACTCAGGTGGCGTTTGTTTGTTAAGAAGTGCTGAAGTCTAAAGCCTTATTTCACTTCTGATTTATAAGAGATGGAGTTGAAGTCTGAAATCTAAATCAATAAGACTGTTTGTTTTTGTAAACTGATTTACTTTATTTATAAAAAATTGTAGTGTTGAATTTATAGATAAATTTATACAATTTCACATATTTATTCATTATCATTATGAAATTTACATCTAAATTATATAATTAACATTTATTTAAATGAAAATATGTCATTAATGGTGTTTAACACGTTTACATCCTATTAAAATACATTAATTGAGAGAGGTGAGGATTGATTTGGTAAGGATCGATTGAGAGAAATGATTGATGATTAAGGTTAATCGATTGAGAAGCTCCGTTGTTGAGGATTTGAAGAACAATAAGAGGCATAAGAGGTTGGGTTACCTCTTATCAAATAAGAGGAAAATAAGACATAAGGGCCTCTGAAAAATTGGAAAAACAAACAGTCTGGATGGTCTTGTCTCTTAACAAATCAGACATAAAGGGCTAATAAGAGTTTTTTTATGAAAAACAAACAAAGCCTAAATTTGTAGACCGATAAATAAAAATAAAGGGAAAACGAAGGGGAAATGATAGTATACCATCAACTACTAGGACACTTCTTAAACAACCTAGATAATGTTGATAGTATTTATATCCTTACAATTTTTGCAACACACTTTCACCCCCTTCACTTTTGTTTCGATACAAGTGCATTGGTTTCAAAAAGTAGTTTGTTTTACCATTAGTAATGCGGTAGTCAAGTTAAAAGGTCAATGTAGGTGGATGTAGTTGGGGTTATTGACTTGAGGGTCAACCAAGTCAAATATGGTAAGTAGTGACAGGATTGTAGAAGTGGTTATTTTTGTGGTACAAGTAGATAAAGCAAGGTGGTAAGTTAGTCAGTAGCATCCGATATAAATAAGGGGGGCTTGTTATGTGAGGGGCATCGATCAATTTCGTGTTTATTCTTGAAGAAAGCTTCTAGGAGGGAACTCGACCTCTCAAAAGCCAAAAACACTTTTGTAATCCCCTAATTTTTTTTACAACCATTCGAATCTTTTGACATTATAAATTTAGCATTTGATCATGAATGTGTACATCAAATTGATATCAGAGCGGTTTCATCTGGGAAATGACAAGAGACATAGCGTCTAAGGTGGACAAATTGGAAGGGAGCATTGGAACAATATAAATGGAAATCAACACAATTAGAGATAACCTTCAAACGGTGAAGAAACAAATGGAAACATTGGTCAAATAACAAGATAAGTTGGATTCACACCATTGAAGAAATTCAAGAATTAGATGTAGGATTAAGATGTCAAAAAACCACTACGGACGAGGCAACGTTTGATGGAGACAAAGATGTGTTCGATGAGGCATCCTTAAGTCAATATGTAAATAGATTAAGCCCATTGATCCTTGTAGAAGTATGGTTGTTGGCTCATGTAGGATTAAGCAACCCTATGGAGTTAGCTAAGAAAATTGAGGGGAGGAACAAATTGGTTTCAGGCATTAGAAGTTCAAATTAGACAACTAGGTGTATTTGGGATGGGGTTGTGGGGAGAAGGTCAAGAGGGCTAACTAAAGGAGGTGGTTTAGCGAATTGGGGAATGAGGAAGTTCGGGAAACTTACTGTTATGGTGGTATAGTCGGAGAGATCTCAAGGACTATGATCGATGTAACCAAAATTACATATTGGGACATAAATGCGATAAAAAGGAGGTCGGCGTGCTGCATATTTAGAAGGCTGAATAATAAGGCGAGGAAGGAAGGTAGAACAAGGGGCAATATCGACTCGATGTGATTATGGATGAAGGTTGAAATATCATTGAATTCTACCGTAGGGCTGTCTACAATGAAGCTTGAAGGTGAAAACGGAGGGTAGAAAGTCGTGCTATTGATTGATAGCGGAGTTGCATGGGAGAAGGTGGTAGTTGTAATGGAGAGCGGATCATACTAGACAATTTTATATCCTTCGTGCTGGGATTGGCATGAAAGAGTGGTTGGTTAGGCGACACTGAACCACACCACTATGTCTAGCAAGGGACAAGACCCTTAGATTCATTGTTGCTACTCAAATATTACCTATCTAATTAAGGATTTTCTACGTCTTCATATCCCACGGCCTCACTATGAAGGGTTTCCTCTTCTCATAAAGTTAATATTTGAATCATATTCAAATATTTCTGATGGTTTTGGAATTAGATGGCATATGTTAACATGTACATTCTAAGAGCAATCTCATTAATATAGTTATTAGTTTATGTTTTATAAAAATGAATTCATATCGGTTTCAAAGCTAAAGAGTAGTCTATTTGGCAGTAAAAGGTCAAAATGGCCATTTATGATTGAATATAGGAAGTATGTTGGCACTTGGCATGTATTATTAATTTTCTTCTTGTTAGGCTGAAAACCAATAATCAACTCGAATGTCATCTTCTAAGAAGTAGAAATGCGTATAATTTTTTTGTTTTTTGATTAGTCTTAATGACATCTTTCCCGTATTGTTTGTCTTGGTAAAATTTTGTCATAATCCATGGTTCATTGTATAGATGCGCATTTTTTGATTTTAATCATAATATTTCTATGCACTTATCTTGTTGCAGGCGATGGATCTTAGAGAGGAAGCTGGCTTCTTCGGATGTGCCTAAAGAGGAACAAATTAATCTTATCAAGGATCTAGAGAGAAAGGAAACCGAGTTTATGCGACTTAAAAGGAACAAGATATGCGTTGATGATTTTGAGCTTTTAACAATCATTGGAAGAGGAGCCTTTGGCGAGGTTAGAAATACGCATGACAATCATATCATGAATCTAATTAGTATTTATGTATTTGTATTCTTGCATGTAGCTAGGTGTTAAGAGGCTCTTCTTCCGTATGAGATCTTATAACCGGGAAGCGTAGGTAGAACTTGTGGAAGGAAGACACTGGCGAGTAGACCTGTGAGAGCCCCCCATCAAGGTCGATATCTTACCTTTAAAAGCGGGTATAAAAATTGGAAGTCGGGATATCCCAATCTTCCAGCTCTCAAGTAGTTCAGATGATTCATCCCTCATGAAATCCCCTTTGCTTCTGCTTTCATCTACCCCTATGCTTCTGCTTTCATCTACCCCTATGCTTCTGCTTTCTTCGTCTATGCCTATGCATCCAGGGATGGATCCAATTTCTTGTCCTTTTTTGGAATCATTGATGTATACTTTACTCCATTTAAAATCAAGAAATTCACTTTTTACCAAAATGGCTCTCTTTTTAGGAGTAGAGTAGGTACTTTTTCGCTATGTTGCTCAACCAACTAGTTATCACTTATTAGATGGAAAGATTAGTTGAAAGGAAAAATTGAAAGAAACAGATGAGAGCAACAAAACTTGAATTTAACTTGAAAAGGGAATCTAGATGACTCATCTTAAGGTTTCATTAGCTTCCATCACTCATATTTTTAAGGTTGTAGACTAATTTTTTTGGCTTTGATGTAGCTAGCAACCACAATCAAAAGATGGTATAAAAGATTGTAGTAGAGGGTTGAAGAAAATTAGAGTAAAGATCTTTTGGTGACCCTTCTTGTCTTCCTAATGAGCCTATAAGAAACATTGAGAAAACTGTTTGGGCATTTCTTAGTAACATACCAAATTGATAATCGTCAAAATTTAATGGGATGAAAGGTGTAGGTTGTCTCTACTTTTATGTTCAAAATGTCAATGAATTTTTTGCATGTATCTATATGGAACTTGAAAAAAGAAGATAGATATATCCCCGTTTCAAAACAAATTGATACTTTGGACTACTCAAGGAGTTAATACAAATAATTTGGTCATAAATAAAATGTTAATGTCCTGGTTTAGGGTCTCGCTTTTGGGTGGTAGTATCAATTTTTTTTGTTCTAATGGACGAAGAGAAAGACATAGGAAGATAGTCTTAAATCATGTAGAAACATTAATGATTGTTTCAAGGAGAAAAATGTCAACTTACATATGAAAAGCTTCCAATTAGGAACACATATAATTTGCTTTGGATTAGGTGTGTAAATGATGCGCGTCAAGCTCGACTATCACAATACTCGACTCAAAACCCAATTTCGAAGCTCGAACTCGACTCGAAAACTCGCAAGTAGTAAAAATCAAAGCTCGACTTGAACTTGATAACTATTTCTCAAGCTCGAACTCGAACTCGAGCTCGAAATAAGCTCATCCATTGAAATTTATGAAATTTTAGGGTCTTTCTTTTAAAAAATTTAAAACCTAAAGGTGTTCTCCTAGTTTTTATAAAACTAAAGGGATCAACTTCAAACTTCATCATCAAAAAGACAAAGTTAGGAATCTCATTCATCTCCCTCTCTTTTTATAACATCTTTTATCCCTTCCTTTACCATCTCTTTTCCAATGTGGGACAATTTCACTAACCCTTTTTATAGTTTTTCTTTGTCTTTTTTTAATTGTGATTTTAATAAAAATTAATTGATTAATTTTTATAATTAAAAAATGCATAATTTTGTTTAAATATCTAAAAATATAAGATATATTTATTATTTGTATTTTACAAATTTTATCATAAACTGATTATATTCTGAAACTAATTATGTATAAAATAATCGAGTATCTCACGAGCTTTTCGAGTCGAGTATTGGGTAGCTTGACTCTACTCGTTAATATGTCAAAGTCGAGCTCGAGCCGAGCCTATTCGAGTCGAGTGTTGACCGAGCTTTGACAAAGTCGATCTCGAGTAGCTCGCGAGCTGTCTCGTATTGTTTACACCCCTACTTTGGATCAACCCCCCAATAAGGAATATGTATGCATATTTTGGACTAGGGGAATTTTTGTAGGCCATATGTTTAAAGCAAAAATCTTGACATCACAACATGCAACTTGACTTTAGGAGGTTAGATGCTAGGGGAGGTGAGAATGGAATTTACAAGCCGACAAAAGCTAGAGCGGTGGCGTCAAGACTTCGGAAATGCAAGGTGTATTAAGGATGAGGACGGATGGGTCTTAGTAAAGAATGAAGACATTAAGGGGAGATGGGTTGGTACTTCTGTACCTTATTTAGCGAGGCAAGGGGGAGGTAGAGGGAGTAGGGGGATATCAAAGAACACATAATATTTGTTTCTGTCGACGTATTAGCATAGGGGATGTGAATGGGGCACTAAGGAACATGAGGAAGGGTTAACCCGTAGGCTGAGACTAGATTCACATTGAAGTGTGGTTGTGTTTTGGGGAAGGGTGCGTTGGTTGGTAGAGCTCTTCATTGTCACATGCTAGACCGGCAAGTTGCCAGAGGAATGGAAGCTTAGTATGGTGGTGCCAATTTAGAAGAACAAAGAGACGCGCAACAGTGAGGTAACTATCATGGTACAAAGTTACTCTGCCATACAATGAATTAGGGGAGAGGGTGATTGAGGCCGTGGTGAGGCACGAATGGAGGTGACAAGAAACCAATTTGGATTCATGCCAAGGCAGTCGACGATTGAGGCAATCCACCTTCTCAGACGCCTTATGGGAAGTATAAAGAGCATAGTATTGATTTACATATGGAGTTATAGATCTAAAGAAGGCTAGATAGCGTTCCAAGGGGCGTTATTTGGAGGATCCTGGCGAAACGGGGTTGTACTATGGAGGTGTGTCAAGAGGATTCAGGATATGTAGGGACAAACAAGGACTTGTGTGAGGACATCGGTGGGTGAGACATAGTATGTCTTGGTGGATATAGGATGGAACAAGGATCCATACTAAGTCCATTCCTATTATTGTGATTTTGGATGAGATTTCATGAGGGATCGAGGGGAGTATACCCTAGTGTATGTCATTTGCGGATGACATTTTGTTGGTTGCAGAGTTGAAAGTGGAGGTGAAAGAGAGGTTGGCGACATTAGAAACACAGGGATTGCGTATTAGCCGCTCTAAGATTGAATACGTTTGGTGCATTTTCATCGGGAAGTGCCCTAACGAGGGGGTTGTAGTCGACATTGGGGGCCAAAGAGTACCCCTAGAGGACAATTATAAGTATCTAAGCTCCATGATTCAGAAGGAGGGAGAGGTCGAAGATGACATGACACGTCACATAAAGACGGGGGTGGCTGAAGTGGAAGGGTGCCGTGTGACAAGAAGGTCTCGCTAAAACGAAAAGGAAAACTTTGTAGGTCTGTGGTATGGGTCGAAGTGTTGGGCAATGAGGAAGGTCCACGTGAGGAAGTTGGGAAGTTGTAGAAACGAGGATGCTAATATGGACGTGATCTTACCATGTTTAATGGGGTTCTGAATGACGTCTTCCAAGCGGAGTTGAGAGTGGTGCTCATCTCGGATAAGTTGAGAGAGGGAAGACTGTGTGTGATTTGGACACGTTCGCAGGAGACACTTAGTGGCTCCGGTGCGGAGTGTAGAAACTGTGACAGACGAGGGGACGGGGGGAAGGGGTAGGCCAAGGAGGACTTGGGTAGAGACACTTATGATAGACATGGAACCCTCTGGCATTTCCGAGGACATGACATCTTATAGGAGTTCGTGGAGACACAAGATTAGGGTAGCAGACTAGGGGGTGTGCCCTGTAGGATGTAGCTAGGCTAAGTAGGAGGAAGGGTGCTCGATTGGTAGTGGGTGGGGGAAGGGTAGACTAGAAACAGACCAAGGTAGGGAAACTAGTGATTACATCTCACCCTCCTAGATCCCACCTCTGAGTGAGATATATTGGGCCCATTTGTTTGGTTTGGTTTGGTTTGGTTTATTTCTTATTCATATCAATGATCAGCTTTTGTTAATTTCAAATTGGAAACAACTTGCATTGCTAGGCAATGACACCAAACATAATTGCATGTGGCTTTACACCTAAAATTATGGTGGATAGTGAGGAATCAACTGTTTTATTTTTATAATCAGGATGGATTAAATGGGTATGGTCACTGTCAAACGATGTGAATAGATCCACTACTAAATTTGATATGGACAGATATACTAGGTATTCAATCTTACATGATTTGTTTGATTGTAGAATGAACCGTGTATGTTTTCACTAATGGAAAGGATAAGTGCTTTTTAGCGTGAAATCAATCATGGCTGGTAGAAACAGAAATCCTGCAATAACGTATGCATGCAATCTTCTAAAAAGAAGTTTTTAAGGCAAGTCCATGTATGGGAAGCTTTATACCTCTAGGTTTACTGCAATGTATGTAAATTTATCTTTGAGCCAAAAGAGAGGACTGCAATTAGGGAGTAGCTGTTGGGATTCTAGCTCTACATATCTGTGTAATTAGGATATCAGATGTCGGTTCAATCTTTATAAGACTGCTTAGGATAACATGCCTAGATCTATGTACTAGACTTTTGCGGGGTTCATAATTATTTTTTCAAATATTTAGCCTTTTTTCCTTTTTTTCTCCTCTTATTCCTTTTTGAGCTTATCTAAAGATAAGATCAGTATCTTCAAAATCACCTGTTTAATTATGAGCGACTAAGGAGCCATCATGCATTCCTAGAACGTTTGATCTGAAATTTTAGAACTACAGAATTATTAACCTTTGAACTTAAAAACATCTCTAGCTTGGGCTTTCTGAATTCGTGGTTTTGGTTCTTTATGTTTTTAGATGTATATATATACACACACACACACACATATATGATGTTGAAGCAAAACTATCTTTCTCCAACTTAATAGCTGATTATCTCATTGCAGGTACGACTATGTCGGGAGAAAAAATCTGGCAGTATTTATGCAATGAAAAAACTAAAGAAATCGGAAATGCTTGTTAGAGGACAGGTAGATGGTCTTTTGTTGACTAGTCACTTTCTTTTTTCAGCGAGTCTGAGACAACCTATGCTTTCACCCCCCCTTTCCTATGTAAATAGGCAAATTTCATATTTATTTTAACAGGTGGAACATGTTAGGGCTGAGAGAAACTTGCTTGCAGAAGTGGCCAGCCACTGCATAGTGAAATTATATTACTCGTTCCAAGACACGGAGTATTTGTACCTCATTATGGAATACCTACCTGGTGGGGACATGATGACTTTGCTAATGAGAGAAGACACACTGAAAGAGAATGTTGCTAAGTTTTACATAGCTCAAAGTGTCCTGGCTATAGACTCCATTCACAAACATAACTACATTCACAGGTTGGTGCAAATATAACTCAGATTATATAATTCTCATTCAAAATCTGAGTAACACACTTGATCTGTTTGATTCTACTTTCTGTTCTCCAGAGATATAAAACCTGACAACCTTCTTCTCGACAAAAATGGTCACATGAAGCTTTCAGACTTTGGTCTCTGTAAGCCTCTTGATTGTAGAACATTATCTACATTGAATGAAAATGAAACCATGGTTGATGAGAATATAAGAGAACCAATGGACATTGATGGCTTCCCTGATGCTGAGAGTGGACATAGATGGAAAAGCGCCCATGAACAGCTTCAGCATTGGCAGATGAACAGGAGAAAACTGGTTTGTTTCTATCTAAAAATCAGAATACATGTATTGATCCACTTTAAACTACATGTAAGTTAATAAATGACTCGTTAAGGGGTGACACTCATTTTATATTTTACCTGAATGTGATTGTGCCTATGTTATGAAAAGTCTGCTTGCACAACCCCTGAATATCTGCAACCAAGGGACCCTATGAGAAGCTAATATACTTCTGTTTCATAGAGCTGTTTATTTGTTGCCAAGGGGATCCACTTCTCTTTCATGTTTCTTGATGTAGACTCAATTAGCTCTTATTTAGATGTAAACTCAAATATCTTGTAGATATGTTTAAAAAACTACATGTTGGCATGATGTGTGGTGCATTGTACAATTAACTGGCATCAACACATGATATATAAAACATTGCTTATCTGGCATACATGGTAAGCATGGATGATGGTATTCTAGAGTGGTCTGTGAATCGTTATCTCTATGATGGACATAAATTATCAAAGATACATACGGACAGCTATTGGACTTTATTTTTGTTCATTTAAGCTGGTTTTTCTCTTTGATTTTGTGCGAGAAGGCATTTTCAACCGTGGGCACACCGGACTATATTGCTCCTGAAGTATTGTTGAAGAAAGGATATGGAATGGAGTGTGACTGGTTAGTGTTATATTTGCTGATTTTACTTATAACACACCTACTCAGACCCTACTCCGAGTGAGATATACTGGGTACTTTTGGTTTATACTTTTAACATGCATAGAACAATAATGGCATTTCTTGCTACTTGTGATTGGGCATTGTTAGATATAGTGATGTTGGGCCCCCTTTTAAATTGTATCGGCCCATCCAATATACTGTACGTGTTGGGATATCATACTTTGAATTATATCAAGTATTAGCCATGAGATTGTTAAATGAGCTTAAGCTCTAAAAGAATAGTAAATAGACCGTAGGTCATCTCCAGCGGCCAACCGAACCTTAAAAAGTGGTTGACACCACCATCAAATCCCTTGAATGGGTCACAACCACCTAGCGTTGCCTTCCTTGCGCCCAATTTTTTTGTTGACCTAGACTATGAAGTGTCTAGTGGCCTTTACGCTTTGGCACAACTCTTTGATATCCTTATGGGGCTTGGTGCTGTCTACCTTGTATTTCACTTCTGTAGGCTTCAACAATCCACTCTAACACTAGTCAAGACCTTGTTGTGACCTTTGAAGCTCTACAAACTTTATTCCAATCTAGGCCCTAACATTGCCACCACTTGCCGATGAGTTGATGCCCATTCAACTAAGGACGACTTTTTTCCCTCTGCTCTAAAGCTACCTGATTGTCACTACAATTTTTGTGCTCTTTACACCTAATCGGAGTATCAAATACCTTGCTAGTTGAGCTAAGTTAGTCTTAAACAGAATGCAATAAATGATACCAGGAACAACACACAAAGGAAAATCGAGAGAATTGTGGAAAATAGTATGTTTTAGTGTATTCTACATAGACAATAGATAAATATAAAATGATTATTGTATATTAGTGCTCTTTGTCACTAATTATAATAAGAAAAGATACACACCCACCCACTCACTCACACACTCTCTCTCTCTCTCTCTCTCTCTCTCTCTCTATTTCACTTTACCACATGGTATAAGAGCATCAACTTGTTTCTGTTCCTGTGCGTGGTCTCTTTAGTTTCTGTTCTCCCTTTCATCAACGCCACCCTCGACTGTCCACCTTAATCACTGGTGGTATCTTCTGCTTTAATTGCCGTCCCTCTTATCCAAACCCTTAACCAGTGATAGCCTTAATTGCTGCTGTTATGCAACGTCTTCCTTAATCGGCGACGTCATTCTGCAATCGAAGTCTTCTGCTGCTTAATCCTTCTGCTCGACACCATGCAAACTGCTACCGTTGGAGGCCCTCAATCACCTCTGTTCTCTCTGCTGCTTGGATGTCCTTAATCGATTTTCCTTCCTTTTATTGGACATCCTTGATCGATGTTTTCTCTGCTGCTGCTATCTACTGTTATTTGCTTCTGTACCCAACTTGGTCTTTGTCTACTGGACTGAGCGCAAAGGAAAACAACAGTTTCAAAGGCGAGGGGAAATCTGCCCAAGAGAAGGCAAAATTGAGTGTTTTTTTTTCTGTTGTATCTGCAGTTGCTGATACATAGCTTCCATAGTCTCTTGTTCAGGGTTGTTGCTTGATAACTCTTGCAGCGGTGCTGCCATCATAGGAAATTGGAAATCTCAGCTAAGAAGAAATTGAGATTACTTGAGAAACCATCAAGCTTGTTCGTTGGCATATTCCGGTAAACCTTTCATTCTCCATTGGATTAAATTTCTTGGGTATAACCTTCACCAGTTTCTTGGTTATTGACTCAGGAGCTACTGATATTATGGCTCATTCCTAAAAAAATTCTCCTCATATGCCCCATGTCCAAGTAACTGGAAAATATTCACAGCCGATGGATAACCAAACACCATGGCTAGTATAGGTGGTGTCGAGCTAGGTCCATCACTGTTATTAAAGAATGTTCTTCATGTTCCTAAACTCATGACGAACCCTGCTTCTATTCAAAAGCTCATAAAAGATTTTCTTTGTGAAACAGTTTTTTTATATACTTCTTCGTGTATTTTAGCACAAGGGTTTGGGAAGGACGATTGGACATGCTATGAACATGATGGACTCTATTACCTTGAAACACCGAGTCAATCAAACACTATCAAAGGCACATCTTTTTTCTTTGTATAGCAAAAGAACCTGGCTTTAACATGGCCGACTTGGACATCCATCATTTAGTATTTAAGAGCTCAAATGTCTAGTGTTTTTATTTTGATTAATGTGAACATGCTAAACATAAACATGTGTTGTTTACAATTAGTAACCAAAGAAGGTTCTTTCTTTTTTACCTTATTGGGGTCCTTCGACTGTTTCTAATGGTGCTAAATGGTTTGTCATTCGTTGATGATTGTACTCGAGTAACTTGGATATTTCTTTTGAAATATAATTCGGACTCAACCTTGTTCTTCCAAATTCTTGATGGTGACGTAAGAGCATTGGTCATGTTTTTTACTCCACACGACAACAACTTTGGTGCAAACCCTTGACTTGATAAAGTTGAAAACCAAGTTCTTGGCACCTATGTGTTCCGAACTGGAACATGCTAAACCTAAATGTGTGTTGTTTCCAATTAGTAACCAAAGAAGGTTCTTTCATTTTTACCTTATTCCACAATTTCTAATGGTGCTAAATGGTTTGTCATTCATTGATGATAGTATTCGAGTAACATGGATATTTCTTTTGAAACATAATTCGGTCTCAATATTGTTCTTCCAAATTTTTGATGGTCAAATGAGAGCATTGGTCATGTTTTTACTCCATGCGGCAACAACTTTGGTGCAAAACCTTGACTTGATAAAGCTGAAAGGCAAGTCCTCCTCACCTGTGTTCCGAACCTTGAATATGAGATCTGAGGTCTTTTTTGCTTCAACTCCTTAATTAGTTCCTTGCCTAATAGGTAACATTACATTGTAGAATTACCCGGTCGGCCTTCAAGTGTCTTATGTACCAATTGTCGATGTCTCTTTCTAGCTTGATATTTTTGTTATACTGCTAAAAAATGCTATATTGGTTCTAATATAGGGTAGCAATGTGCATCTTTACTCATTCATCCAACTTGAGCATCTCAAAATATCACACAAAGTTGATGTCTTTGGAATCCTTCTCTCTGTCATACTCCTTGGCTTTCAGAATGACAATATTTCACACAGTGATATTGTGTTGCCCCGTTGGCTATGTGTGCTTGCACATCGCTAATACAACTGAGTTTTGTTTTCAATCATCTTGTTTGGAAATAAATATTCTCTTGGCACCATAATGTGCAAGCGATGCGCCTGACATTAGTTATCTCGGCATGCTATCATTGCACATTTTTCCATCAACTGTTCCAAAATCTTCGCTCAAGCCGGTCAAGACGCTCCTTGACATCGGCCATGGCTACCTCTTGACGAGCCTCCGTCTATGATAGAAGATGTTTGCAACACTTCTTTGAAACACGGCTCTCGTATAAACTGTCACAACTTTCTTACACTACTCAGCTTCTTGTAGTCATTTCTCATGTTCTTTTTAACTTTGTTATGCTATTGTATGTGTGTGCAAACTGTTCGCTTAAACTTACGGTTGCATTCGTGCTACAAACATGGCAAATGGTATACATAAAAACAAAGAACTTATGCTTCGCCTGGGGAAATCTTGGAGTTCAGTTTTTTGTTGAAATCTACAACAGGAAGTGCACACATTTTGATTAAACGACAGACATATGTTATTCTAAAATGTTGGACAAGCAGTTGGCCTTACTTTTACCTTTCCCGTTTTCATTTATTTAACGGGTATTCTTAATTATTGCCCTTCATGCAGGTGGTCGTTAGGTGCTATAATGTATGAGATGCTCGTTGGATACCCCCCATTTTACTCGGACGATCCAATAACCACATGCAGGAAGGTATCATACATTGCAATTCATTGCTTGGTCTCCAATTCCAATATATATCTTTATTCTTGTTTTTATGATATCACGCACATTTTATTCATGCAGTCCATAAACCACTAGTTACAGGAGCACATATTTGTCACTGGTTATCTTCTCCTAATTTTCATCTTCAAGCTCAGAGATTTATTCATAGTACTTGTAGGATAGAGTGGAGATGATCGTTTTTTACAGTTGCTTCGCTTGTTTATATCTTGCTGGATAGCATCATTATGGTATTGTTAGCAAACTTTTCTTCAGGCCATTGTGTTAGGAAACATTCCCAAAGTCAAAACATTAGTTTGTGAAACTATCTTTGACTGATGGCTTCAATAACAAAGTTTTATGTGTATAACGCTTTGAAATGACTTCTTAAAAACTTTGTCCTAAGTTTCCAATAAAACGGCGGGGACTACAATTTCTTAGTAATTAAGGTTCAAAGCTATCTTGTCGATGTGTGACTGAGCTTAGCTTACTCATCACATGGATGACCAATATCTATTGGTCTACGCTTGGAACATTTTGATCATGCCTCATTCTTGTAGTCAGGATTCCATGGGACCTTTGAAGGGATCAAGTGGCAGGGAAGGATAAATTTTTCTATGTAGTTGGAGGATTACTTGTCTTATGCATTGCTCGGGTCAAATTGGTTGTTGTTTAGATAAGGAAAAATGCATTTAAACATGACAAGTTTGGTTTAGTTCTTATTTAGCATAACGAAGAATTTTTCTCAATATCGATGTGACAAATTCAATTTTGTGCCCATTTTGACCGATAAGTCTTTGATCCTATAACATTTGTTGACATGGATACCCCATTCATGGGCGAAGAGGACAATCAACTCTCAAAATAATGGGTAACTCTTGTATATTGACATTGAGAGGAAATATAATATATAGAAGTACAAGAAAATAAGAAAGGAAAGGATTCTATGACAGCTGAGAAATTTCCAGTTCAATACAACTATACAACACTTAATTTAGGACACTAATTTAACAAGCAAATCTCTTTTAAACCAAGAAACTTGCAACACTCCCCCTCAAGCTGGCTCGAAGACGTCTTCTATGGCAAGCTTGCTCATTAAATATTTGAATTGTCTCTTCGTAGCCCTTTTGTGAGGATATCTACTATCTGATGTGTAGTAGGCATAAAAGATATACAAATCAATCCACTTTCTATCTTTTCTTTGGTGAAATGTTTGTCAGTCTCAACATGCTTGGTTCTATCATGCAGGTCTGGGTTGTGAGCAATTGAGATGGCTTCCTTGTTATCATAATAAACTTTTATAGGTTGAATTATAGGAATTTTCAAGTCTTCAAATAATCTTTTCAACCATCATGAGTTAGACCTGAACTCTACCTCTGCACTACACTCTGCACAACATTTTCATTCTTTACTTTTCAACATAACTAGATTTCTTCCAACGATCATTCAGTAGCTAGAAGTAAACCGCCCGTCAGTAGTACTATCATCCCAACGTGAATAAGTAAATACTTCCTTTCAGATACTTTAATATTCTACAAGTTGCATCTAAATATTCTCGTCCACGTGAGTGCATATATCCACTAACTAGGCTTACTGCAAATGCTATATCTGGACGTGTATGTGATAAATAGATCAACTTTCTCACAAGTCGTTGAAACTTCTTATTAGTGACTTATTCGGCTTTAGTCGGATAAAGCTTCAAATTAGGATCTATGGGAGTATCGACATGATGTACAAAAGGTTCACGCCCTTCTTTATCTCCAAAGATAAGATGTCCTAACCATCCAACCGTTATTCCATCCCCGTTATCTAGTCTCATTGAGAAGATCTAGAATATACTTTCATTGGTTAACAAAGGTGCCCTTCTTTGACCTCGCAAACTCCATAGCAAGGAAGTACTTTATTGGCCTTAAATCCTTAATGTCAAAATCTTGGGCCAACCTTTTTTTCAAATAGGTCAATCCTTCATAATTATCATGAGATCAAGATTATATCATCCACATAGATGATTAAGATAGAGATCTTACCTTTCTAAGATGGCTTGTAAAACATTGTGTGATCAGCTTAGCTTTGATGATAATCATAACTTTCCACTGCCTTTTCAAATCGTTCTAACCAGGCTCTTGAAAACTGTTTAAGGCCATAGAAGGATTTTTTGAGTCTGGCAGTCTTTGCACTTTGTGTTGTCCTAACAATTTTTTGAACTCTAGAGTAGACTCGTAAACACTTCTTGTTGATCGCCATTCAAAAATACATTCTTGATATCTAAGTGGTGTAGAGGCCAATCACAATTTGGCGCCAAAGATATTAGTACTCGAATGGAATTGACCTTTGCATCTGAGCAAAAGTTTCTTGATAGTCAATACCGCGTGTTTGGGTGAAAATTTTAGCGACTAGTCTCGCCTTGTATCTCTCAATACTCCCATCTGCCTTCCATTTCACAGTAAACACCCATTTGCACCCAATTGTTATATGATTTTTTGTTAGATCAACAACTTCTCACGTGCCATTTTTCTGTAGAGCATTCATCTCTCCATCACTTTCGATTTCCAAAAAAAAAAAAAATTCATTTAAGCATCTCATTGCTTTAGTTGAAAGATTCCCCCACTACTCGTCGTATTTGGTTTGGTATTACTACCGTGCATGACTTTGAGAGTATCAATTTGTATTTGTTAGGCAAACCAAATTTTAGATTCAAAAGAATAGCCTATTCCTCCGTATCTCATATGGGTTTGTGTAATACCCCACTTTCCACATTTGCATATAAACATGTACTTCATAAATTAAGAAGTACAAATACACCATTTTGGTCCCACTAGTACAAGAAACTTATAATACATAATTTACAACACAAAAATTCCAAAATAATCTTCTTGTATATCACATGTATAAACAACATGTATTCTCAAAATCCACTTGTTATTAACAACAGGCTGATCTGTTGGAATGTAGGCTTCGGCCTACTAAGTTAGACAAAAGGGAGGAGGCATAAAGTAAGGAGCCGGCCCTAGTCTCTACCCTAGTTTCCTTGATTAGGAGATAACCCTAATTATGTTTGTCTATATATATTAATCTCATTGTACTTGTAAACATTGTAGCACCTAAATAAAGAAAACCCTAGTTGCCCCCGTGGACTAGCACGATCAATCTGATCGTGTGAACCACGTAAATTCTTGTGTTCTTCTCTTGTTTTTTGGGTTGTGTGTATTGCGTGTGTAACGTTTGACCTAACATGATCTTCAAAGAGCAGTTAAGCACATAAGGAAAATAATCACATTTTCCCCTTCCCCTTATCCCTGGACCCAGTCGGACCTGCAATGCATATTTTTAAAACACAAAATGAGGGTTAGACCATGAGGTCTAGTGAGAAACCCCTTCTTGCAATTACAGGGTGAAGATCACCAAAACCTGTTTATAAAAATCCCAATTGAACATCCAACCTCTTTTAATAAAATAATTTCAGTAATACAACAAACTGCAAGTTATAAAAACATTTCTTACCACAAAGGATAATGTACCACTCAGGTTCTTATAGACATCTAGAACACAACTCTCAAAGCTCTCAAGTCTCATCAGACTAGAGCTTACAGTCTTGACCTCCAAACCATACCAAGAAATACTGATCACCAGAGTTCTTGATTATTATCAAAAGTTTTAAGATAAGATAGTTTTATATTCAAATGAAAACGGACTTCAATAATAACCAAAGACCGTCCGGGTTTTATTTCAAATTTCTACTCTTTTGAATAACCAAAATAGGATATCTGATATCTCAAAATCGTTTGAAACACGAACAATTAATGCCTCCGGCTATAAGCCATTTCCTCCTTCTCAATAACATCGTTGTTATCATTTCAATAAGAGCAATATTTTCACGTCTTCATGTCACAAAGAAATGTTGACTCAGAATTATCGCATCTTACGAATGTGACAGCAAGAGCTATAATAGTAACACAAACAAATGCCACCCTTATCCAAATGTACACCTCTCCTTGATATGCCACCCTTATTCCATGGTACACCTCTTCTTGATATGCCACCCTTATCCCATGGTACTCCTCTCCTTGATATGCCACCCTTATCCCATGGTACATCTCTCCTTGATATGTCACCCTTGTTTCCTCATTAAATCTACAGATAAATCTGTAGTTTTAGCCAATAATGGCCTCAAAACAGTTGCATATCAAAAACTTTATCTCAAGAACTTTCACAGTTCTTAAATCCACCTTTCAATTTCTTCTCAATATTTCTTTTAGAAACAGTTTTCTCATCTCAATAGTTTTGAAAGAAACAACAATACCTTTCCTCAATTTAAAATCAACATTTGAACGATACATGTTAACCTTCACAACTCCAAAACAGTTTTGAAACTGTTAAACAATATTTTGGAAAACAACAGTTTCACCGGACAAGCTCTGGCGATGACTGTTCCTCATCGACCAACTCTATGGCCGATAACCTCTCATCGGACAACACTATCCAGTTACCATCTCATCGGACAACACTTAAAAAAAAAGAACATACTCACCGGTCAACACTTAAATAAACAGAACATTTTAAAATCCCAAAAGTTAAACTTTGTCCGATGAGCATCCTCACCGGAGAAGGCGTTGGGCGATAACCCCAATCCGGTCAACACTTTAAAATCCCAAACGTTAAACCGTTTAACAGATGGGCGATAAAATGCCCAATTCAGACAACTCTTGTCCGATGAAGGCTTTCACCAGACAACACTTCGTCCGGTAAAGTCCTCACCGGACGATGCATAAATTACACAACTCCCTCACCGGTCAAGGCATGACTGATAAGGGACCTTCATCGGACAACACTGTGTCCGATAACAAGCCCTTATCGGACTATGCATTTGAGTAAGAACATATATACAATATACGTACAACAACAGATCAAAACCATTGAAAACCAGTATTTCATAATCAAATTCAAAGATTGTTTGTAAAAACTCACCTTAAGCAAGCAATGAATTTTGAAGA